TGCTTTGGTGGTGGAGAAGCTCCAGTATGGGTGCTAAAACATATCATTCTGAGTTGATGGGAGGGATTCAATATATTCGTGATACGAGTGGTGATTGTTGACGTATCGATGACTTAGTAGTCCTTGTAGAAAAATGGGGTGCATCTGAGGGAAAAAGGTGCTCATGCGTTTGTGTTCCAACATCATCATCATGAGTGCTGTCCAATATGACGCTGCCACATGTTAAGAAGGGTGTGGGGAAGGGGTTCAATGGATGCAAGCACTAGTTGATGATTTGGTCCCACAATGTTAGCCACTTCTTCAGATTATTGTACCTGTATTGAAAATGGGTGCTTAAGTGCTGGTCCTCATAGTCCTTAAGAATTAGGATATGTGGACACAAATGATGCATTGAAGAGTTCCTAAATATAGGTAAGTTGTTATTGACCATAAATTAACAGAAAAAATAAAATTAAAAGAAAATATAAATCAATTGGAAATTGTAAAAATAAGTATTACCATTGAGATAATTTGTAATTTTAAAGAAAATTAAACTACAAACTGTAGAAGAGGCTGATTGCATAATAGTTTCTTTAATTTTATTTTTTAATACTTTTTTGCTTTTAATTTTCTCCCTTATATTTCATTTATTGCAAGTGTAGAGAGGAACCTTTGGTTGGTGAAATGGTCAAAGCTTGGCTGAAAGAGTGAAAATGTGGGTTTCAGCTAGCAGGCAAGCGCTTTGTACAAGTAGCCGAAGTTTGGTTCTGTATCTGACTTCCCACTTCAATCACCGCCTCAAATTGATAGGACTACCACTAGGTAATGGCCTTTGAATTTGAACCCTTGGGCAACTTATTCTGAGGTTTTATATATTTAAAGTTCTTGTATAATTTTGGTGTCTATAGTTTTCTCTCCACACCAATTGCACCAATTTATGTCATCTCTGGCAATGAACTTTGCATGTAGATGATCCAGTTAGTTGCTCTCTACCAAGAACTGAGAGAGTTGAGTCCTATCACATGCTCTTGATTTGGATTTATCATTCCTAATCTTTATACTCAAATGTTCACTATTGGCATTTGCCTTTGAATTTGAACCCTTGGGCAACTTATTCTGAGGTTTTATATATTTAAAGTTCATGTATAATTTTGGTGTCTTTAGTTTTCTCTCCACATCAATTGCACCAATTTATGTCATCTCTGGCAATGAACTTTGCATGTAGATGATCCAGTTAGTTGTTCTCTATCAAGAAATGAGAGAGTTGAGTCCTATCACATGCTCTTGATTTGGATTTGTCATTCCTAATCTTTATACTCTGTTCACTATTGGCATTTGCCTTTGTCAGTTCAGGTGCTTGTTACTCATGTGCATTGTTATCATTGGCTTGGGTCACTGATATATGTGGTAATCTTACAAAAAATTGGTATTGTAATTTATCTAAAATAAGAGGTACTCAACATTTTCCCTTTTCTTTTACTTGATTTGTAAGTTATACAGGAGTACTTGATTCCCTGCTTGATTTTTCTACGCAGTTTGAAATTATAGAGTGGGTGTTTTTATATGTTATTATGGATTACGATATCCTTTGTACCCCAGGCACTATTATTTAGGTGGCGAACATGTTGAAAAGCATTAGGGAATATGGAAAGAAGTGGATTTAGAATAATTGAAAGAAAAAAAGGAAAAAAAAACCCTCCTCGTAGCTCTTGCACCGTTGATATAGAGCTCTGCAAAGAAACTCTCGTAGGAGCTCTTGCACAGTTGATATAGGGCTTTGCTTAATTCCATGGTGGGCTTAGGTTAAGAAAACTTGCAAACTTGAGTTTTTAACATTTTAGGCTTTAGGGATGGGAAGGAACTGGAATCAAGTAAGTTTCTAGATGGTTTGGTTGCTGGAAATTCAGAACTTTGCTGGAAACTCCGGACATCATTTTATGGTTTGATTGTGAGATTGAAGGCCTGAAGCTGCTTGAAAGACCACGATTGATTAGGGATTGTTTGAACAGGGGTTTGTGAATAGAGAAGAAGGGATCTTGTGGCTGTTCTTATATCTGTGACCAATAACGGTGAACAAAACTTTGCTATAGTTGAATGATTTAGAGAGGAAAAAGTTATAGCTTTGTAGAGAGGATTTTTAAGAGTAAAAGGAGGTTCGAGCAGATATGGTTGTTGAGATTTTGGCACAAAGTTACAGTGAAGAAAAGTTGAAGGATAGACTAGCTTAGAATTGCATCAAACAGTCCAAAAAGAGTTTCGTAAGCTTCTGAAAATGCTTTGAACTTATATCTATTGAACTGGAAAGAGTATATATTTTTATAAAGACCATTAAAACTTCCTACTGGGACTTCAAATTTGAAAGCCTATAGAAGCTAGATTTTTCTATTGTGTACATTATTTATTTGAAAGACTTTTCCATGATTGCATGATGATTTTTGTTTATTTATCTCATAGTGGTGAATATGAAGGGGGTAACTAACATTTACAATTCGAAGGGTGCTGGTGATTAACAATCATTTGTAGAGGCTATTTTGGTTGAGTAAATTTGTGTCATTGGGTCACAATAACTTTAATGTGCATGCTTTTGTTCATTGTAGGGGGGTATTGTAGTAGTTTTAGGGGCGCACCAGTGACCAGACTTTTAAAGCTGTTCCCTCCATTTGATTCCATAATTAAAAAAAATTAAAAGAAGCTAGAAATGTTTTTCTATCAACTTGTTTACATGAGAAAGAAATATTCTTATTCGAGTTTAGCTGAAACTTTTGACAATAATTTACCAGTTCTTAGAAATTGCATGACAGACAATTGTGTAAGCGAACACATATATATAATGGAGAATACAAGGATTTTATATTAGCTTGCGAGTTTGATTGTTAAGTACATAATGTATAGTGGTGTAAGTAAATATAAATTCATGTACACACTAATATGTAGGTATCAAATTTGTATGTATGTTAATATGCGCACACACGAACACACACACACACTTTTGTATATACATTTATAAATCTGTATGTACGTGTATAGGTGTATATATGCATTTAGATGTTTATTCATTTATACATGTTTATCTATTTTAAGCACACATGTCTAAATATATTTAAACATAATTATTGGTTTGGGATATGATTTGTAAGTGTATATTTTGAAAACGACTTGCAAACAAAATTAGCTTAGTCATTTACACTTTTCGCAAACTGCTTCATGCCCTCCCAAAAAAAATGTGTTAACAGTTACAGGCAACTAAAACTCTCAAAATGTTCAGTACTTTCCAAAAGATGTTTATTGTCAAAACAACCAATTAACTGTACTATAGAAGGCATCTTTGTTTGATACTGAACTGTTCATTTTTGTTATTCTGCAAACATTAATTCCGTTGATGCAAATTTTCTTGGCTGGAATTTAAACCCTGGAAGGGTTGTGCTTTGTGCACGCAGAACATATTTGAGATTGCTTTTGGATGCTAGACGTTTGACATATTTTGATGAGCCACAGGCATGCACTGCTAAATTCTTGAAGGTGAATCGTGAGAGCAAAACCTTGGTAAATAGAGATGATCAATGGTTTCATCATTGACTCTTCAATGATGCTTGTTTATGTTATTTTTTTTTTAGCTCACTGTTTGTATAAAGGAACTGTATTTGCTGCACCAAGTTGTTGTACAGCTTTTCCTATTTACTTAGAAATTGTTGGTTATGCATAAATGTCTGCAAACACGTTTACAAGTTTATTTACATACCTTGTGTTCTGTAAAAGTTAGTACTGTGAGAACATTACGGAACTGTTTTGAAAATGTATCACTTCGGAGATTCCCAGATGCAAATTTCGTATATACATAGAAATTGTTGGCTATGCATAAATGTCTGCAAACACGTTTACAAGTTTATTTACATTCCTTGTTTGGAAAAAGTTAGTAATGTGAGAACGTTACCAAACGGTTTTGAAAATGTATCACTTTGGACGTTCTAAGATGCAAATTTCCTATTTACTTAGAGATTGTTGGTTATGCATAAATGTCTGCAAACACGTTTACAAGTTTATTTACATGCCTTGTTCTGTAAAAGTTACTACTGTGAGAACATTACCAAACGGTTTTGAAAATGTATCACTTTGGAGATTTTAAGGTGCAAATTGTGAATATGCTGCTTCGATGGTGGGAATTAGTTGCTATTCTCCAGAACATGAACTGCAAGAGGTGATGAATTGCCTCGTCTGAAGGTGAATGAAGGCAGTTTGAGTAATAAATTACCTTGACCATTATTAGATGGCCAAGTAAGACGATGAAAGACTGATATGATGGGTCAGATAATTTTAAATCAAATTTGTGTTTTTGGACAGAGAGTTTGATGTGAGAAAAAGTTTATCTCCGGTATCTGGTATTTTGGACAGTTTAGATTACCCAGTAAAGAACTTCACCTGTGTTGTTGGGTTGATATCAAGTCATCAACCGTTCTCAATGCACCGCGGAGTACTGGTGCACTGGAGAGGATTTAGATTTGTTAGCTGTGCTTATTTTCATTGTTGCCATGAGTTCTAATATTACAGTGATAAGGAGGATCCTGAGGTTGTTGAAAAGCTCTCTTTTGGCATAGCCAGCAACCACCATGTATGAAATTTTACATACGACTCATTCAATTCTTTCGAAGCAATTCTTTCGAAATTATTGGATCCCTTGTTCTCGAAGGTAAAACGTTCAATTCTTTCGAAGTCACTGTATTCCTTTGTTCGAGAAGCCATGACACAAAATACTTGTCGTGATGCCAAAGTATTTGATAGTAGTTCCTCCCTATATTTGGTAGTTTTCATGGCTGTCTAGGGGTTTTGTTGATCAAATAATTTAGATGGTTAATGGGTTGGTTCGTCCGTCCCTATCATACTGGGACATAGTACTTCAGTTTGGTGGTTTCCGCGTGTCTAGTGGGATTTGACGACACTGGGAAAAGGATCGACTTTTACCTTTACATACCACAAACATATTTATGTAATGCTTTAAAGTGTGATGAAGCTTTTTTGACATGCAATTCTGATTTTCTTAGCGTTTAAGACATTGTAGAACAAAACTGTGTATTAAATGGGTCGAAGGAACAACCATCGTTCCAATAGAGGCTGACATGCGCACAAACAGACACACAACTCAAGCAGACAAGAGATTTGGTTTGAGCAAGCTGAAAAGATCTTCAACGTGTTCCAGATTGAAGCTTTAAAGGTATCATTTCTACGGAGTAGCCAATTAGTGGTTTGTGTGTGTGTGTGTGTGTGTGTGAGAGAGAGAGAGAGAGAGAGAGAGAGAGAGATAGAGAGAGAGAGACCACTTCATATGCTGTGGCCTAATTTCAAGTTTGGTATTGTTTTCTTTTTCTAAGGCTAACGCAAAGTGCCTAAGATTCATTAATTATGAAAACTTTATCGGTAGGGAAGGAAGATATACCAAACCTTCCCCACCAATGAGAGCTAAGAACCCCAACACAGCTCTAAATTCTATACCTTGCTAACTAAACCACAAATACCTCTAATTTCATCGACACCTTCAACATATATTCCCCCAAAAAAACCACATCCCACTGGATGTTGTCTCTGTCCCTGTCCCTGCACAAACCATCATCTCCCAATGCAAACAGACAAGAGGTCCAAGCATCATCTCCCAATGCAAACAGACAAGAGGTCCAAGCGTTCGCCCTATCACGAAAAACACACCAATCCATTAATCTGGCTTTTAGCCATAATCTGCACTGTTCTAGCCGTTGCAGTGATAGTCACAGGCCTGATTGTGTTTGTGGGATACGAGATCATCAAGCCAAAGGTGCCTTCATTTAGTGTCGCCGAAGCTCATCTCGACTTGTTCGACTATTCCCAAGCCGGTCTGCTCACAACCGAGGTCAACATTACTACCAAGTTTGAGAATCACAACGCCAAAGCCCACGCGAGTTTCTACCAAGTAAGCTTGTTACTCAGCTTCTATGGGACAAAGATAGCAAAATTGGTTGCTGAGCCATTTGATGTGAGCAAGAATAGCTCAATTGAGTTGAACTACCTAGTTGACTCGTCCCCGATTCCGCTAGGCCCTGCCGAGCAGGACTATGTTGACAGGTCTATAAAGCAGGGGTCTGTAATATTTGAACTCAAAGGGAATGCGAGGACTCGTTGGAGGATTGGTCTTCTTGGCTCGGTTAAGTTCTGGTTGCACTTGAATTGCGAGCTTCATTTTTTCTTTATAAATGGGACTGCCACAACCAAACATTGCAGCAGCAAGTCTACATAAGTGCTCTCTCATTTGATCGGTGTATAGTTCAACCACCACCTCAAATTGATAGGACTATCACTAGGTAATGGCCTGTTTTGTTTTGTTTTGTTTTTTTTTTTTTTTTTTTGGCCAAGTATAGAGAATTTGAACTCTTGGGAAACAAAAGTTAACAGAGGTTTTCATTTATTTAAAGTTCATGTATAATGTTGGTGTCTGTTTTCTCCCCCACTTCAATTGCACCAATTTATATCTTCTCTGGCAATGAACTTTGCATGTAGATGATCCAGTTGCTCTCCATCAAGAACTGGGAGAGTCGGTAATTAAAAATTTGGATCATTTCTCGATTTGTGCTCGAATAAAAAGGAAATAATAAAACAAGCATCTGTTGCCAAAGGAGCCCACATTTTCCCTTTTCTTTTCTTTGATTTGTAAGGTACTTGATTTATCTACTCAGTTTAAAATTATAGAGTTGGTGTTTTTACAGGCAATGGTAGTTTACAACATCATTTGCTCCCAGAGAGCAGAACTTTTTGGTATGGTTGAATGATTTAGGGAGGAAAGAGTTAGAGCTTTGTAGGGACCATCTTTTAAGAGTAAAAGGAGGTTAGAATAGAGCTGGTTGTTGAGGTTTTGAAGCCTTAAAAGGTACCCCCTTGTATATGCATCTATAAATTTGTATGTACGGGATAGGTGCATATATTCAGTTGTATACTTGCATGTTTATATATTTTAGCACACAATGTCTACATATATTTAAACACAATTATTGGAGGTGAATTGTGAGAGCAAAACCTTCGTAAACATTGATCATCAATTGTTCCTTTTCTTCATTGACTCTTCAAGATTCCATTATATATACACACACAGAAAATGTAAAAGTTGGTACTGTGAGAACATTACGAAACAGTTTTGAAAATGTATAACTGTAGAAATTCGAAGATGCAAATTGTGATTATGCTGCTTTGATGGTGGGAATTAGTTGCTATTGTCCAAATCCAGAACATAAACCATAAGAGCTAATGAATTGCCTCTGAGGAAATATATATATATATATATATATATTTTGGAAAGAGTGATATGATGAATTGGATATTGTAAATTCTTTTTTTTTTTTTTTTTACTTCAAAGAATTGAGGGAAATTTTGTTGTGAGAGAAATGCACGTTGAATTGATACTCCGGTGACAAGATTTCTACTTGACTAGTAAGATCACTTTTGGTGTACAACTCATTCAATTCTTTTGAAGTCACTGGATCTCGTCCGAAGAGTAATGACAGAAATGCATGTGGGTGGTGCCAATTGAACTTTTGTACAAGTTTTGTTAGTTGCTGTTGCCTGTCTAGTGAAATTTGACGGCAGTGGGAAAAGGATGACTTTTAACTTTACCTACCACATAACATATTCATGTAATTTTTTTGAAATATTGATGAAGAAGATCTTTGTCAAATTGATGTTGATATTTTGATCGCCTTGGTCTTTAAGAAATCGTATAACGAAAATGGCAGAAGAAACAACCATCCTCGGGGGTGTGGTGTGATTGATAGTCCAGTAGTAGAGTATTGGTAAAACCATGGTTGGGTCCTTACGGAAAGGACATAACAGACACACAATGTGAAGTTGTGTTATTTTCCTTTGTCATTTTTAAAGGTGTGTGTGTGAGAGAGAGAGAGAGAGAGAGAGAAACGTTATCAATCTTTTGTGACCATTTCACATGCTGTAGTCTAATTTGTACGAAAAATAGTAAAAAGAGTTTAGTTGTATATGCTACTGAAGTTTGGTATTTTTTTCTGTTGTCCAAGGCAAACGTAAAGTGCCTAAGATTCATTAATTATGAAAACAAAACTTTATCTCTAGGGAAGGAAGATATACCAAACCTTCCCCACACATGAGAGCTAAGTACCCCAACACAGCTCTAAAACTAAAGCGCAAATAGCTCTAACTTCATCAACACCTTCAACATATATTCCCAAAAAAAAACACTCCATCCCACCGGATGTTGTTCCTGCACAAACCACCATCTCCCAATGGCAACACGCAAGCACGCCATAGGTTTCAACAGACGCACCAACCCCATCGTCTGGCTTGTAGTCATAATCTGCACCATTTTAGCCGTTGCAGTGACAATCACAGGCCTGGTGGTGTTCGTGGGATACGAGGTCATCAAGCCAAGGGTGCCTTCCATTGGTGTCATCTATGCAAATCTTGACAAGTTCGACTATTCCCAAGCCGGTCAGCTCACAACAATGGTCACCATTGTCCTCAGGTTTGAGAATCACAACGTGAAAGCCCACGCGACTTTCTACGATGCAAGCTTCATACTTGGCTTCCACGGGACGGAGGTAGCAAGTTTGGCTGCTGATCAGTTTGATGTGAGCAAGAATAGCTCGGTTGATTACAAGTACCCTGTTGAATCAACCCCAGTTCCACTAGGCCCTGGCGAGCAGGAGTATGTTGAGTCGTCTATGAAGCAGGGGACCATTATCTTTGAACTCAAAGGGAATGCGAGGACTCGTTGGAGGATTGCTCCTATTGGCTCTGTTAAGTTCGGGTTGCACTTGAATTGTGAGCTTCATTTTTCTACTAAAAATGGGACTTACACTAGCAAATATTGCAGAAGCAAAGTCTAAATAAGTGCTCTCTTTGATCACAATGCAAATCTTGTTCTCATTTCATCAGTGTATAGATACAGACATGTTTCACTTATCTGCTCATTCATGTCCATGCTTTCAATCCATTTTCAAGGTCAGGAAGCAGCTTTAGTGAAATAATTTTCTCTCTCTTTTGGAAGTATATATTCATAGATTTTATATATATGTCAAAGGATTCCTTTGTAGAAAGTAGCATAAAAGAGTAGATACAATCAATCTGCAATTGAATTACAATGTGAAATTTCATGTTTCTGACTTTGAATTATCAAGTGACGCCCATGATTCATTTACAATACATTGGTATAAGAAAATTGGGCACAACTTTCATAAGAAGCTCTGTTTTTCCTTCTAGTTATTGTTGTGTTTCACTATTGATTTTCAAATAAATCCTCTAAATTGAGAAAGAGCATATCAAACAGCTTTCTGATAGTGAAGAAATCGGAATTCACGATCTCTAGAAAGACCATATGGTTGAATTTTGGTTAAAGTTCCTTTTTTGGAATGGAGGTGAAACCTAACGTAACGATCCTAAATGATGCCAAAATTTGAAAAAAAATTCGGCATGACCTCCGCTAAAAATCGTCATACAACAACATGTTTAAATGCATTTTTAACCTATCGCAATACAAATATCATATTATACACTCCATGGTGATACAATAACTTACTATATCATTCAAGTATCATATTTACAGTCCCAAATTACAAGATTAATATCAAATGCACATATTTTTCAACATTTAGACAGCTTATACAAAAGTTACAGCCCATAGGTGTAATTAAAATATGAAAAGTCCATAAGTTGTCGTACAAAATACATTATGCTTAGTCTCACAAAAATAGTGAGACCTAAGTACAAAAACAACAAAAGAAGCTCCTAATCCATACTAAGTCGGTGGTAGAATGTCATCAGCCATTTCTTTCCCGTTTTCTGAAAAAAAATGTTAAATGAAAGGGGTGAGCAAAATTGCTCAGTACGTGGTGCCTGAGACATACCTCTTGTGTCCCCATGAATCCAAACAAGGAATAGGACAATAGGAATTTGGGGTCATGTAAAGCCAGGAAAATACAATATCAATTCTTAGTTCAAAGCAAATAAATTTCGTGCCATGAATGCAATGTTATGCATGTCACTCCCCATTTTCAGAAAATATCATCACTTCACAAACTGTTAATATAACCCGCCCTTTGGTGACTCCGTAGCGACATGAGAGAAGGATTGGCTACTGTCCTTGACCTTTGGTACCTCCGCAGCGTTATTTGGGGCCCAGATAGCTCAACCACGCTAGGGCAGTCTCCTTAGTTCCCTCTAGGCTATGTTAACACACCGGCCCTTTAGTGACTCCGCGGCGACCGGGTTTTTCTCAAAAACCATTTCATCAAATTCTCCCCAAAATCCCCTTTTAATTTCATTTCAAAACACTTTCCCTTTTTCTTTCATGCCTAATGCTTGTGTACATATATGGAAATGGAGAGAATTTTTAACACATAATTAATAAGCTTTCACATAAATTTCTGACAAATTAATTGGCATAGAAAACTAACACATTAAGTATGTTTTTATTTTATTTTATTTCATTTTATTATTATTATTATTATTTTCATACAATTTAATTAAATACATATTATAATTCAATTAAATATACATTCTCACATGTTTCATATATACAATCAAGTCACTTTAAGGAACAATTATCACAATATAGCATGTTAGAATACTAATAGGATACTAATCAAGAAAAAATTAATTCACAAAGGAACAATCATCACAATTTAGCATGTTATGACACTAATTAAGAACAATTAATTCACAAAGGAACAAGATTGTAGGAATTAGAGACCCCTACCTCACTTTTAAGCAAAACTCTCAATTTTTTCACCTCAAATCCTAGGATTTCGAATCTCCTATAGTGCACCAATCAAGGAATTGCTCCTATCAACGTGTTGATCTCGTCGTGGGCTTCGAATAACTGCAAATGGCTCTCAAAATTACTAAGTAGTGAATGAGAGATCAAGCTTAATTGACGTGGAAAAGAAAAAGAAAAAACAAAACAGAACCGGTAAGAGAGAACTGTCGCGAACAGAGGAGAAAAACTGAATGAAAAAAGAAAAAAAAGTCTTGGTCACTTATTATAAGAGTGGGCTCCACCAACTTTTCCATTTAATATATATATATATATATATATAAAATAAAGCAAAACATTACACCTAATTTGGAGTAATTTACAATGCTTGTAAAGAATAGAGGGGAAAATAGAGATAATTAAACCCTAGAGGCAGAGCAACATTCAAGGTGCAAAGTTTTGAAATAAGTCATTTTTTGTATAGGATTAGAAAACTCTCCATAAAGGAAAGGCAATAAGAAGAGGGTTGAAGAATATGTGTGTGTGTGTGTGTGTGTGATTGAAAGCTAGTCATAAACAAAGCTTCAGGTCCTCACTGGAAGTAATGATGAAAGGTTTTATTTTCTGACTGATCGATCCTGTAAACAGCCACAACCAGGGGCCAAGTTGACCCTGATCATGTCAATTCAGTTCAAAGTATGTGTGTGTGTCATTCTCATTGTGTTACAAATTCGATTACGAAACACATACACCCAAGCTCACATCCGGTTCGAATTCCTCCCCTCCTCTTTGAGAATAGAGAAGTTAATACCGTTAGGCCAAAGATCCTTCGATAGTGTTTATAAGTTGTTCACGTAGTTAGTAGAATCATTTGTGACATTTGATTTTAAATTTCCTCTACCTTAAAAAAAAAATTAACCTCTAAAAACTTCTAATCAGGGTTGAACAAGAGTTTTGAGTGAGTTGAAGTAAAAAAATTGCTTTGTTGTCTAGGAAGTCTGGAGATTTCTTTAAAATAATTTCAAAAGTAAAAATTTGAAGAAATGAAATCCTCTAATTAAGTGTCACCGTAACATTAAGCCAAAAGCAAAACAAACCTAAAGATGAAAACAATATGAATAAAAAGGTAAGAAGTTGAATGTTGGAATTGTGACCAAAAAAAAAAGAGGAAACGTGTCTTTAAGGGATGTTGGAAGAGATTGTAAAATTTAATAAGATGAATAAGAAAAGATTAAGAGAAACTGTAACTTGCGGAGAGTTTTAAGAGAGAAAAAAGGAGATAATATTTCTCTTTTTCTTCTGCGTAAAAGCAAAAGTAAATATTATGTCACACGTGTCTTGAAAAGAAACTCAAAGAAGCTAAAAATCATTGAAGAATGCAAAGCTAAAAAGAAGGATTATAAAGAGAAGGTAAGATTTCTTTAAAAGAATTTGATCAAGCTATGTCATTTAAGTAATCTCTGTGACAAAACTGATTTACATTAGCAACTGACAAAGAATTTTTTTACTTTTGAGATACTTTTAGGAAACTTGACAAGGAAAATCTGGATTGGGTTTGGTCATTCTTCTAAGGATTCTTTCCTCTTGACTAAATTTAAAGTTAAACCTCCATCTTCTCCTTTTCCATCTTTTAAAAGTCCTATGGTTTTTTTTTCCCACTTATTATGACAAAAAAATCACTCAAAATATAGTTTTTTTTTTTTTTTCAAAGAAACAGAGATCTCTGAATCTCAAACTGTTTTGAAAAAGGAAAATAATATTGATAAATTGATTCCAGGAAAGCCATCACCTAGTCAATCCCCGAATTTGAAGTTGAAAATAATCGTACTCCTCAAGTTCTTGATGGCACCTGTTACATGATCTTGAATTTACAATGTCATTTTTATTATTACAATGTATTGTCATGTTAATTGTGACCCAATCTAGTTTCTATATTAATAAATTATATATATTTTTAGTTCAGTTTTGCACTTTTAAAATTCATTTTAATGAAAAACAAACAGAACTAGTTAAATTAGATTAAAGAAATCAAAGGAATTCTGAAGAACCGAAAGTTATATAAATTGATTTACAATCTTGTATCAATTGAAGAATTTAAAGTATCAATTCAAAATTTTAAAATATTAAGTGTGCAAGCTGAAATTAATTTAATATAAAAAAAATAGATTATTATAACCGACCCATTTAATAATAATTTTACACCTATACTCCATTCTCTAAGAATGACGCACTTTCTTATTGATCATAAAATTTCATGGACACAAGATCAATCACTTTTTAAACTACTATTCTCCAGTGAGATTACAAGAATTCAATTCATTTACATACATTTTTTTACCTAATCATTTTAAATATTACCATTGATTTTACTAACTAACAATATTCCATCTTTTATATAGGCATCTGATCTCCCTAACAAAAACTCTAAATCATTTTAAACTCTAGAATTGTATAGAGTATATTTCACCCTACAATTGTGTGTGGGGGTTTTTTTTTTCAATCAACTACAAAACTTATTTTTACTCAACATAACTCTTAATCATTCCACTGCATTCTAATATACTCTATACAATTCTACATCATTATAGATTTTTCTAAAAATAAGCACGCTATGCAATATATACATGGTACTTGTATAACATAACCCTTTTGAAAATTAGACGAGTTGGTATGAGTGTCGAGATAAGTCAATAATAATTGATTCAAAAGCAACTAGATTAGCGACTCAAAAAAAAATAAAAAAAGTTTTGAAAGTACTAGAAGTCATTATTCTTTTCATAGTGGAGCAATTAGATTAAAACTGTGATCATCTCCATCATATTCCCCAATGAGGCTTTTCAAGTAAAAACAATTTAAGTCGCGATTGTATTTGGTTTTTTTTTTTATTTTTTATTTTTATTTTTTTCTCATCATATATTTTAAATATTACGTGTCAATTTATAATGAATTTGACGTGATTTAAGTAGATAGATTTTTTTTTATTTCTTTTATTTTTTGATAGAAAATGTTAAAATATATATATTTAACAAGTAATAATAATAATAATATCAAAGTCGTAGACTTGTCCCACAACCATTGAAGAGGTTTTTTCTTGGCCCAAGTTCTTTTTGTCCATATGCAAGAGACATGGTGAAGTGTGTATTTTTGTAATTTAGCTGACACCACTTGCCCTTTTTTTTATGTGTAGGTGTGTGTATTGTTCTCTGAGCATATTAAAAGTCACATGTATCATAATATTTCTCTCCTCTTTATATGATTTTGTGCGCATTGTTTTGTGCATACCGGCATCATATGCCATTCCTTTGATATTTCTCAAGTGGAGCAAGAGGAGCACTGGCACTTTGGATTCTTTTCACTGTCATTGATTTCTCTTGCCGTAAAAAATAAAATAAATATATATATTTTTTCTGAAAGTAAAGTATTGTACATAAATGTGAAAATATACAGAGGGGCCGAAGCCCCAAAATACAGCCCAAGCATCAATGAGCCCAAGCCCAAACTCAAAGGCAAAGCCCACAATTAGCAACTTAACCCTAATGAAACACGTGATGTAAACAGATTCAATATTTTTTTACTTCAAATGAAACACGTGATGTTTCAAGAGTAATTTAACGTTGTTGTTATCTTTGAACGCTGTAATTACGTATTAAAAAATAGTTGATTAGACCCAACATCCGAATCACCTACAGAATACAGACATGACTTTCGAAATTAAATAATTGTGCTTTTTGATAATTGAATAATGAATACATTTTTCTAATAAGTACGGGGTCAATAGTATAATATTATATATGTAAATAATATATAATATTTCAGTTCTACCATTTTCGCACACTAAAGTTGGTAGGTTAATTAATAGATCATTAATAGCTCAGCCACTTGGCATTACATTATAGGGGACTTGACTCCATATGATATATATTTTCTCTCCATGACGTAGCATGTTCAAGCTGTCATGCACCGCAATTGGTATGCCCATGAATCAAAGTTCCACGTCATGATTTGAATTACTCCCATAAATTATGGCTTTGAGACTAATTGAATGACAGTCCTCCTGTAATATACAGTAGACTACGTAGTAATATATTTTTGTATATTTTATCAATTAGAGTGTCTGAATTTAATGGTTTAGAATTATTTATTATTATTATTTTTTTTAAATAAGACATTAAATGCATATCCACTTTAAAAAGAAGTTAAAATTTATAAAAACAACTGTAAAATGGTATAAAAAAATTTGTTTGGAATATATATATATTATTTTAAACTAACCAATAATTTAATTTATTGTTAGAACAATACGAGTGTATGAGTTTTTTGTAAGGAAGATCTCGTAATATTTTATTATATCTATATTTCTTTTAAAATTAACTTATTTTAAGTTACATCATAATTGACTCCGTATTACATAACTCGGAGTACTTTCAATCTTTCAATAAAATTTTATTCTGGTAATTCTTAATATCTTTTCGCAAAACATGGCCTAACTCAAACGCAAAGCATATATACTTTTTTCAAAACACACACACTCACACACACATATATATATATTAGCTCTTCAAAATTATATATACATATATAGGGGACTAGCTTGACTCCATATAATATATATTTTCTCTCCATGACATAACATGTTCAAGCTGTCATGCACCGCAATTGGTATGCCCGTGAATCAAAGTTCCACGTCATGATTTGAATTACTCCCATAAATTATGGTTTTGAGACTAATTGAATGACAGTCCTCCTGTAATATGCAGTATACTAATATATTTTTGTAGGGCTATTTTATCAATTTAAGAGACTAAATTTAATGGTTTAGGATTATTTATTATTATTTTTAAAAAAATAAGACATTAAATGCATATCCACTTTAAGTTAAAATTTATAAAAACAACTGTAAAATGATATAAAAAAATTTGTTTGGAATATATATATATATATATATATATATATATATTATTTTAAACTAACCAATGGTTCAATTTAATGTAGGAACAATAAGATTGTATGAATTTTTCTTTTTTGGAGAAAGGTCCCGTAAAATTTTGTTATATTTGCATTTCTTTTAAAATTAACTTATTTTAGAGTTCACCATAATAATCACATACCTTATCAAGTTAGATCCAACTTAATTGGCTCCGCATTACACAACTCAAAACACTTTCAATCTTTCAGTAAAGTTTTATCCAATTGATTCTTAACATCTTTTGATCTTTTCACAAAACATGGCCTAGCTCAAATTCAAAGCATATACTTTTTTCAAAACACACACACACACACATTAGCTCTTCAAATTATGCATGAAATTTTGAAACAACAAAAAAGTTGAAAAGGAGTACATTGAGATGGAGGCATTACAGAAGAGGAAGCCTACATTCAAAGCTACGCATAATCTAACTTTTCCTTGGATTTTGTCACCCCTACTAGTAGTAAAAAACATGATGGAAGTGAAGGTACAAGTTGCGCACGTGCTCCACGTAAACACTTGCAGTGGGTCATTTCGGTAATTCGAACACAAATGCAGGGTTGTCATTTAAACACCTCGAATCACTCCTTTATTTCTTTCTTTTTCGAACAGAAACCAATTTACTTTTGGAATCGTTGCAGCAAATGTCGGTGACCGTCTACGCTACGTGTCACGATCCTGTTGTCACAAGTCTCTGTAACTCCCGAAGGCCAAAGATAGGGTTCCCCTTTTTTTCCTTTTTCGTTCCCACACTCACACCAAACATGGGATTGTCAGACTATATACGCATTTTTATATGAACATACATTTACATATGTAGTACAGTAGTAGTATTTTTTTTTGTATATATAGGAGTGTTTGTACATGAATGACTTTAGCCGAGGAAAGCAATGTGATTGTTTTGGCGGCGCTCTCTAATTCGCTTGGTGCAGGTCGGGAATTGCTTCGCCAGGAGGCCCAGCACATATAATATATATATATATACATACATACATACAAACGCAAATATGTGCATATATATATATATATATATTTATGCATGTTTGTGTTTTATTTAAATTGTTCTATGGCGAATTGGATCCCGCCTTGCATCAAGTGAATCGGAGACAGCCGCCAGTGTTAGGGTTGTGATCGGACCTTTTCGAAGATAGCTGCTTTAGGATTACTTCCTTTGGAGGCTTTACTTTGTTTTTGTGATATTCTCTTCTCATTTTTTATATGAATCTGAAATTCTATAGAGTTCTTTATTAATGTTCTTTAATTTTATTTAAAATAATAATTATAACTCGTCCTTTTTATTCTCAAATTGATGTGTTTCTGTTTGATTATAGGTTGGCATCTAGATCTAGTTGTTCTATTTATATTATTTTCGAATTTTGTTTTAATGTTTAATTTGTTTGAGAAAATGAAGTTCCTTGTTGATTTTAGTTTCTTTTAAATGATTACTGGAATTGGGTGATTTAGGATAGTTGTTGAAAATATCGAAAAAGAAATAAAAGTAAAAAAGAATATATAGTAAATTGGGACTTTTTGTTTAGCTATATATTCATATGTTAATTTACCCAAATTAAGTTCATATGTGTGCCTATGTTCATGTATTATGGTTTTCTGTTTCAAATTGCCTTTTCTTTTATTTGAATTGCCATTTTGTTCCTGTTTTGGTTGATTTGGATTAAATGTGTCTATATTTGACTATTTTGTTAGCTATGTGTTGCCTTTCTGTTGATGTGTTTGGTTTTTTGTTTGTTCGTCAATTTAACGGGAAGTAGATTCTTTTTATCAGCACTTTAGATTCTCTGCAGAGATGAATGATGAAGCATAAAAGCTGGACTTTGTCGTTGAAGATTCAATAAATGATTGAGGTTTGGAAGGTAATGTCTTTATCGTGTAGTTTTGTTGATTTGTTGCCTTGTTAGTTGATGTAATAGGAAATGATTTGTCGCCTTGTTGGTTGATGTAATCGGAAATAATTTGTCGTCTTGTTAGGTGTTAGTTGACGTAATCGGAAATGATTTGTCACCTTGTTAGCTGACATAATTGAAAATGATTTGTCTTTTTGTTAGTTGACGTAATCGGAAATAATTTGTCGTTATTTTGAAATCCATGAATGAACATAGAGTAAGAAAGTTCTTGCATTCTATGAAGAGACAAATCTTCATTTCTCAACTTTTTATCATGTTAGTTGATGTAATCATAAATGATTTGTCGTCTTATTGAAATAACTAGTGAATTGGTGTTGGGTGGACAAAATGGAGACAAGCTACGATATTTTATGTGATAGAAGAATAACACATAGGCTAAAAGGAAAATTTGATGTGGCAAAGTGTTGGTCTCTAAAAAAGAAACAAGAACAACACCTTCATCTAGCAGAAATGAGAATGCTAAGATGGATGATTGGAGTGACTAGAAGAGATAGGGTCACAAATGAAAGTGTAAGAGAAAAATTAGGCGTGACACTCATAAGAAAGAAAATAAGAGTGAGTAACTTAGATGATTTGAACACGTACATAGGAGACTTATAGATGTGCTAGTAAAAAGAGGAAGACTAGTTGTCATCGAAAGTAAGAGACGGCAAGGGCGACCAAAAATAACATGGGATGAAGTTACTAAAAATGACTTAAAATAGTTAAACATAGTAGGTGGAATGGCACATAATAGAAAATATTAGAGATAGAGAATTCATGTGGCCGACCCCATTCATATGGGATTAAGGTAAGAATGATGATGATGAGTTGATGTAATCAGAAATGATTTCTCGTCTTGTTGGAATTCATGAATGAACATAGAGTATGAAAGTTATTGCCTTCTATGAAGGGACATATCTTCATTTCTCAACTTTTTATCTTGTTAGTTGGCGTAATCAGAAATGATTTGTTATCTTGTTAAAATCCATGAATGCACATAGAGTACGAAAGTTATTGCCTTTTATGATGGGGCATATCTTCATTTCTCAACTTTTTAAAATTATTAAATATTTCAACAAGACGACAAATTATTTCTAATTACGTCAACTAACAAGATGAAAAAGTTAAATGTCTAAATATTTCAATAAGACAACAAATCATTTTTTATTACGACAACTAACAAGATAAAAAATTGAGAAATGAAGATATGTCCCTCCATAGATTGCTCTGAGGTCATCTGTAGTTATTAATAAATAAAAGAAAAAAATCATTTTAGCAAAACCCTTGAATTTTTTTAGCATTAGCAGCAACATTGCTAATGCTAAAAAAACTAGGAATGGTTCAGCTTTATAGCCTTTTGTAGGATTTGTTAGCAGCAGTGTTATTAAAGGCTCAAGGCGTACCAAGGCGCTAGAGGTCATTTGGAGCCTAGGTGCGCGCTTGAGTAAAGTGAGGCGCACAATTGAAATTTTAAACTACCTTAAAAGCATTCATATCTCATAAGTTGTATTAATATTCTAAAAATTAATATCAAATATAAAAAAGTAAATCCATCAACCATATAAGCATAAACCATAAAACAAAGCACAAATTTGTTTTCTTGAAAGGCAAAACAAAATTTGTTTTTTTGAATGGAAAAACAGAGCATAAAAAGAAATAAATCTATTAAAAAAGGTAGGAAAAATAGAGCCAAAAAAAAATGAAAAAGACAAAGAGAAGAGAGAACTAGACGAAGAGAGAGAAGTAAGCAAAGATGAGAGGAGAGAAAAGTAGAGGAGAAGAGAGAAAACAAAGAACTGACATGGCTTCATCGTTTGTCTCTGCAGCTAGGGCTTTGTCGTTGGTCGCACAGTCTCACTCTTTCTATGTTCACACTTTGACACTTGGGCTTTCTTATTTGTTTATTCTTTTGAACAAAAGTTCCTTCTTTCATAAGCTTAGGTTTTCTTATTAGTTTATTAAGTTTCCAAAAGTACTCTTTTTGGCTTAAGAAATAGAATAATTATTTAAAAAAAAAAAAAAAAAAAAAAACAGTGAGGCATGCCTAGGCGCAGCCTAACAAATAAGACAAGGTGCAACCGAAGCGCGCGCCTAGCAAACATTAGTAGCCTGGGATGACAACAGGAGCTAGACTTGCGCTTCGAGCCTATGTGCGCCTTTAACAACACTTGTTAGCAGACAATAAAGTCTTATCTTATTAACCCATATTCTGTGCGTCAAATCTCCACTATTGAATTCTTAGATTACTAATTTGGCTTGTTTAGGCTTCGGATCTGCTTTAGGTCACTGTACTTGCAGTACTTTGCATCGCTGGTTTCTTACGTAAATCACGTTCTATGAAATGTGGAACTTGAGGTTACTTTTTAAGAGTTTCACTAGTGGACGTGTTGTGTTGAGTAACACGATCCCAATGAACTAGAGTAGGGTGGATAGGTGTACTTTTTTATATATGACTGATTTTTATTAATTTTAAAATCTATTAAGTTAGTGCCCGATCAATCATGCAACCAAGCAAGTCAAGAATGCTAAATAAAAGCAAAAGCAATTTAATGAACAAAAGATACCAATCTTTTTCAATGGAGAAAACCATGGGACAATCTTGAGCAAAGTAATCCACTCCCTAAAGAAGTTACAACTAAACTTCGACTCAGCCCAATGCTCATAATACCCTTTGTCAAGATCTAGCAAATAAGCGTCTCAGGTGTCTGGTTCCAACACTAGAAATCACTGTAATTTAAGCCCCAGTAGCTGCTGACTTCAACTTACTTCTATGATATTCCAACTGCTGATTTTCAATGCAATCACTTTACCCAAAAAGATCTGCCTTCTTCCAAGGGATTTGTGGTCTACCGTTCTTAATCTCCAAATCAACCGTTTGATTGTTGAATGACTTGGTTAAAAATTCAGTATCAATGAAGCACCTTGGTTCTCAATCCAGTCACAGAACACAGCATGGTAATTCTAAGCAAAATTCCGATAATGTGACTGGAGAAAACCTCAATGATTTTATGAAAAACTAGGGGTTTTGTAATCTCAATCCACTCTCCTTAATTTCTAAGTTTCACGCTATAAAATGATTAACTGATATATACATAGAGCATAGGTTGTGTAATCCACATCAAGTTCAAATTGAATTCAGTCCTAGACCAACTGCAAAATATACTCGCTGTAGCAGTGCATTGGTTAATGTACTGGTGCATTGTGGTTACTTCTGAGATGTATTAGTGCATTTATAACAATGTACTGGTGCATTGAGTTTACTGAACTCGATGTACCGGTGCATAAATTGGCTGTACTAGCGCATTGAGGCCACTGGTCATTTTTTGTACCAGTGCATTGGGAGTGTACTAGTGCACTGTAGCTGCTGTCCAGCACTTTCTCAATTCAACTAGTTGAGCCATTAAACATCAATACTCTTTCAAACTTGCATTGGACATTATTTCAAGTCCCAACCTAATTCATAAGGTGGTCAAAACTATCTAAACTTTTACGAAATAAATTCCTGAAGTCTATTAAGGTCGACTTACAACTTTCCTAACACAATTGAATATGTGAAGCATAGTTGAATCATATGCTAAGGTAGCTTTCATCTTCAATTCAGCCCATCTTGATGCTTAATTCTTTCGTGGTAAATGACTAGTGGACTCATTACAGGACTTTTCAATACATTTTGTTCTATTCTCTCTAATATAAACACAACTTTGGAAACAGAATTTACTAAGACTTATAATATTCCAAATAAATGTGATATTCTTACCTTCTCATTCTCATTCCCTTAGTAGATAGGTGCAATATTTCTTATTATGTGATCTTATTTGAATGTTTTTTTTTCTTTCTTTTTTTAATGCTTGCAGTATCTTGTTCTATATAAATCTAGATTTTCCTTATCCTTCTGGTCAGAACTGTTATGTTGGTACATCACCTATCATATCAATTATATCTCTCCTATAATACAATTTTTTTCTTCACCCCTTCTGTTAATGTTACCATACTTGTGCAACAAGCTTTTTCATAGACGGACTGATTGATTGTTACCATATTTGTATTTGAATTTCTTTGCATAATTTTACAATAAAGGAAATACCTGACGAATCGCTTTTTGGCAGTCCCAAAGAACTACCTGACCTCTAGCCCTACGTCGCTAGCTTTGAACGGTTTCCACATTTCATGGAACCTGTCCTGCACTAACAGGACTTTTGGTGTTTTGCCGCATTGTCCATAAAAAGAACAATTCATTCAATTTGGACCTCTCATTCTTTTAGATATATTTAGCACAATGCTGTAGACTTAAAAAATCCTTGGAACAAATTAGATTTCAGACCAACTACCAAAACACAAACCTGGGCCTTTTTTTCTTCAAATTACTTCAACTTCTGGAACCTTTGAGGAATGTACGAAAAGCAAGTTGGAGAAAATCCAAGCACAATTTTAAGAATAAGAAAACCATGAATTTTCAGAAACGAAGAGTCTGATATAATATCTCAAGTATTTTCACCTTGAACCAGTATTTGGAAACGTTGCAGATATCGTATGCAAATTATGGAGTTATCAAAAACAATTTGAATGTTTATACTGTAAATTTGTTCAAGATATATTATGGAAGAAACACAGTGATAGTTGTTTGTAAAAGGTTAAGTGAAGGCATGTGGTAGCTCAAGATGGATAGTTGAATTGGACTCGGCTCTTTATGGTGATGTCCATTAGCAGGGCAGAGAGTGCACAACTCATTAATATAGGGGTGTCCTAACATCTGTATCAACTTCATACCTCACAAAGCTAGCTTGACCATGTGGAGGATCTGGTTAGGTCATGAATTATAAAATCTCTTTTAAGTTAAATTTTTGCAGCTCTCCTGCAAGGTTGTATTGTTTAAATTATGGTTTCTGAGGTGCGATTATTATATCTATACAAATTTATATATATGCATGTGTTTGTGAGTATTTTTATATATGATTGCATTTGTTAAAGATATTATGGTTGCAGCAATCTCTAATTTGCTTGGTGCAGGCTGGAGCTGCTTGACACGAGGCCGTAGTGAGTTTCTTGGAATGGATCCAACATATGATCTAGGACACTGGCAATGGCTAAGCTTTGTTCTATGCTGGTTTAAGCTAGCACCCGTTTGACATTGTTTCTTGTTGGGAGTCATTTTTTTTTTTCCTAGTTGGTATTCACACACACTTGTCTCTTCTGAGACTTGAACTCTTGACCTCCCTTTGGGAACTAAGAGGCTGATACCGCTAGGTCACTGACCCGTTTGACATTGTTTCTTGTTGGGAGTCATTTTTTTTTTTCCTAGTTGGTATTCACACACACTTGTCTCTTCTGAGACTTGAATGCTTGATCTCCCTTTGGGAACTAAGAGGCTGATACCGCTAGGCCACTGACCCGTTTGACATTGTTTCTTGTTGGGATTCATTTATGTGGTTGATTTATCTGAATTTTATGGGAAAGTTGGGTTGCATCAACTGAACTGGATACCGCAGTGGGTATTGCACTGGAGTATCATACTCTGGGGGAGTTGGGTGTCACTAGTAAAATTAGATGCACTTTTCAACTCAAATCGTTCTGGCTTCAGATTATCAGCTCGAAAACCTAAACTACCAGATCAATCCCAAAAGCTTAGTTCTGCGTGGTTTGAAAAGTTCAGATTATTTGTTTTTCTTCTTTGCTAATAAAAATTTCAAGATTGAGATATCTATGTGATGGTGTCCAATGAGTAAACCTAGAAAGTCTTATTATCCATTTTACTCATTTGTTGGTGTGACTTGTTATTTGGACTTCAATAAATGTCATTTTATGCGACTTTTCACTACATTGTAAATTTTTTAGTTCATAACACTATTTTTTTTTTACTAGCATACGTTACATTGATTCTTTTTGTTTCCTTAGGGCTGATTAAAATGAATTCTTATGATAATTGATTAGATTATCAATCAATGCTACACAAACAGAGAGTTTAGACCGACTGAATAAAGGTACTAGTAGATGACTAATGGATATCTTTATGATACCATGTTTTAAATATTATTGGTTTCTTTCCTTTCGCATTGATTGATCAGCTAAATTTTCCATTCACTTCACTGTTTCACTGGTGACTAATTGTGGGATTTGAAATAATTCGTTTTGATTAAAACAAGCCATGCTTGCTTCATTTTTAAGTCTGGATTTATTTCTTTGATATTTACTTTGTTGTCAAATTGAACTTTTTATAAATTTACGACTTTACACTTTAGAAATAGTTGGAGTTGATAATACATTAATGCAGTTTGTTTGTTTGTTTCTTTTTTTATTTTTCTCAATCCTGTATAAAGAATAAATATTCTCCATTTCAGATTGATATTACATGTGCCAATGGTATATCAGGTTGTCCTTTAATATCTAGTGTGAATATCTTTGTGTGGACACCGTCACCGGTGACACTGATAGCTCGGAGAGTGATACATGGTAGAAGACATGTATAAAGTGATCAAGTGTCATACATTTCATACAGTGAACTTCATGATGGAAACTAGAAAAAGAATAGACATATTACCCGAATTGGGGTGGATTTTTGGCGTAGACATTGAAGTTTGATGCAGGTGGAAACATCAAGAAATGCTCATGCTTGTCAGCCGAGTGGTCCGGTGTAACCGGCTGGAAGAATGTCTTAAAACAGTTCCGTGGCTTGTATCATCAGACCAAGGGGCGGCACCCCATGGTTCACAAAATGGAAGAAACCATACTCAGAGCAGGCTTTGCCAATAATGTCAATGGCCGCCTTCTTGCCATCATCATCACCATCTCTGAAGAAAGGAGCTGTGGGAGCTGGGAATACTTTTGAGTTACCCTCCGGTTTCAACTCAATTTAGTATTATAGTCTTTTGATCCATCCTAGGTATCACTGCACTACTTATAAAGAATTTTCATTTGTATTGTAATTTGTTATTGGGTCATGTATATTGGTGGGTCTCCCACGTTGCCTTGTCCACATGTAGATGGCGCATAATCGAAAAACAAACGGTAGATTCCATGTGTTGTATTTGTATAGATCGAGTTTTGTGACTATGATAAGATTGTTCTGATTACACCAAAATAGCGTTAATTACACAACTTTTTTTATTTACGTTAGTCAACTTACAATGTTAAAAATAACATGCGAAATGTCATATTTGCGCAATGTTTTATTATGCACTTTCAAAGAAATTAGAATTAAATAATATTAATTTATGTTGAAAATAATAATATTAATACTTTATTTGGTATCAGAGCCATGATGGCTTAAGTTTCTATTGTTAATACTTTTTAGGTTCTGGTAGCATGATTATTATCGTCATTATGTAATGAACAATATGAATATTATTCTGTCTAAATTATGTTTATCCCAGATTCAATTATGGGTCGTCCAAAAGTCGCGTTGGAATGTTTAACCCGTTTTTGCATTGGATTGCTACACAGGGTATTGTTTCCAGTAAATCGTTGACAGACGAGTAATAGAATCTCTCTTAAGCAGAAAGACGACAGAATAGTAACTTACTGTTCACTATATAATATTATAATATTTATGCTATGCAGACCTTAAAGTATTAACAATAATTAACAACCATGTTACAACCATCTTCGTCCTCCTCTTCAGGACTACAGGACAACCAGGATTCAGAACTGGTAAAAAATACTGAAGTAGTGGAATGGACCAATGTTCAAAATCAATTGAACAAATGGACTATCCCTCCAGTAAGTGCAAAAAGCATTTACAAAATCGGAATGCTTAATTTAGCTGATCTATGGACTATCAAGACCATGGAACAGACCATGCAATTAAGCACTAAGGATACAATAATTAAGTTATTGTCTTCCCGTGACCTTCAGAGGCACATGCATAAATACAAGTACATCCATATAGGTTTAATTCAAATTGCTTTTAAACATTTAACCTTGTTAGGTATGGATGCCTGTATTCAAGCAACCCTTAGGGATGCTCGGTGTCTGAAATGGGAATCGGAAATGAATCTGTCAAGGATCAGTTTGACGATCCCACAGACATTAATGACCCACATGAATATTAGTTTTAATGGATTTTGTCCCTGATAGAATTGCCATTAATGCTGAATTTCAACAGGATCAATATAAAGAATTCAGAAGTTGGTATTTCAAAAGTTTTGACCAAAATCAATTACAACTTTTCAAAACCCAATTTTATGAATTTGTCCAAGAACGCAAAATGGTTATACCTTTTGTTTCTTGGTTCTATATGACCAATCATTCTCTTGTTAATATTAACATATTGGATGATTTTCTCAAACCATGGACCACATCTGACGATAAGGTTTTCCACTCTGTCCATCCTCCCCCTGACCATCTAATTCTCAAAAGAATTGACCCGGACAGTGGTTCTAAAGTGGAAACCAAGGCTTATAGCCAACCGAAAGTAATTGATCCAACTAGTACTGCTACTAGAAAGGACATTACTCACGTTTACAAACAGAACAATTATACCAATGTTTGCTTACAAACGATAGGGTCCCAGCTTGGGAGAATTGAAACGGGAATAGACACTGTATTAAATACAATTAATACTAAGTGTATTTCTGAAAAATCTTCTCCTCCAGAAGCTTCCTTATCCAAAGCATTGGTGAAACCTGCAATTGAAGTTCAAGGCTTCAATCTGACACATCCTAAGAAGAATGAATAATTTCTTACTCTTCTTACTCAGAAAATTCAAGGACTTAAAATTCAGACTTTATCCCATGATGAATCTGAAATTGGTTCTGATTCTGAGAATGTGTTACCTCATATTGAGGAAGTCCTTAAGGATCTTACTCAGCTCCCTGAGTTCAACAGAATTGTCTATGATAAGAATATCCACTCAAATACAGCCCCTGCTCCGAGTCGATATTATTATCCCAGACCCACACCTCAAGATATCTTGTATGAAGAAGATTATTTTCATACACAGAAATCTTTTCATGGCAAGACCATTTATGAATGGAACATAGATGGCAAATCTGATTATCAGATTTACGAGGTTATTCATCAAATCCTGATGTATGGCCAAGTTTGTAAAATCAACAACAATACTGACCCAACCATTGCTAAGTTTGTCGTTGCTGGTTTTACAGGAATCCTTAAAGGATGGTGGGATAATGTTCTCACTGACATTCAGAAAGCTGAAATCTTTTCTGCTACCAAGATTGTTAAAGATGAAGCTACTCAACAATCAGGCCCTGCTCCTGATGCGGTTTACACACTCATTACCACTATTATCCAACATTTTGTTGGCCCTGAAGGTGCTAATAGTGAACGGAGTCGTGAACTTCTACAAAATCTAAGATGTCCATCTTTAACTCATTTCCGGTGGTATAAAGATGTATTCTTGGCAAAGGTTCTCCAGCTCAATGATGCAAATCATGAGCACTGGAAAGCCAAATTTGTAGATGGTTTGCCAACCTTTTTTGCTGAAAGAATCAGGAAAAAGCTTAGAGATATGAATAATGGTATCTCTATTCCTTACAGAAACTATACCTATGGTGGATTAGTTAATATTGTAATCCAAGAAGGTCTAGCTCTCTGTAATGATCTGAAGTTACAATCCCAGTTAAAATCCCAAAGATTAACTGGTCGAAAGGAAGTAGGTGAATTTTGTGATCAATTTGCCTATCAGACTCCCTTATCTTATCCTAAACCTAGGAAAAGAAATAAGGTTGAAAAACCTTATAAAAGGAAGTATTCCAAAATAAAGAATTATTCAAAGGAAAAGGATAATTCTAGACAGCATACTAAGCCTAAAAGGAGATATACTCCTAAAGCAAAGGGTAAAGGAAAGCCCAAGGCTGAGGCTAAATGTTTCAAATGTGGGCGCATTGGCCACTATGCAAACAAATGCAGAACTAAGGAAAAGCTCAGTAGTCTTCACATAGAAGAGGAATTGAGACTTCAATTAAGTAAATTGTTACTTAATACTAGTTCTTCTGAACCAGAATCATCAAGTGATTACGGCGATGTTGTCATGGAATTACAATCTTCTTCTTCCTCTGAAGCAGAGATTGAAAACCCTAGATGTTCCTGTAATCCTTCGCATGATGATTATTATAAGGCAATTGTTGAGATGAATGGGTTAAGCTTGAATGTTTTAACTTCAACTCAACAATCCTTATTGGATCTTATAGATCATATCCAGGATCCTCAAATCAAGATGAAAGTCTTTGAAATAGGTTCTGCTTTGGCGCGATCTAATGAGGACACGGGTAATCCAGATTTTCTGCGAGCAGAAAATCATTACAGTATGAAAGAAGTTCTACGCAGATTAGAACACCAAGGACAAAATTCTCGTCCTGCTAATCTCCCTGATCTTAAAATGGAGATTAATCTTTTAAAAGAAGAAATTCGTCAGTTGAAGTCTCGTCAGACTACGATGGATTTAGAGATTACTCTTTTAAAAGCAAAATCTGCAATCCCTTCTTCATCATCTAATGATGAAGTTCCTCAACAGGAAGGTACTAATTATCTTCAACTCCTGAATCAAGTTACTTACCAAAAATGGTATATATCTATCAATTTGGTAATTAATCAGGAGTACACAATCACTAATGCAATTGCCTTAGTTGATAGTGGTGCAGACATGAACTGCATCCAGGAAGGTTTGGTTCCTACTCAATATTTTGAGAAAACCACTCAAGGTCTTACCAGTGCAAGTGGAGGTAAGATGCAGATTAAGTATAAACTTAATCATGTTTTCATTTGTAAAGAAGGTATTTGTCTCCCATCTACTTTCTTACTCATCAGAAATTTGGCACAACAGGTTATTTTGGGCACTCCCTTTTTAGCTTTGATTATGCCAATTGAGAAAATTGATTCTCATGGCATATGCTCTACTTTACATGGTCAGTCAATAACTTTTCAGTTCTTGACCCCACCAGTAAATAAGCATATCAATGCCCTTAAAGATAACATTATCTTTAAGGAAAAGCAACTGAATTATTTGCAACAGGAGGTATCCTCCTTAGCAATTAGTCAAAGATTGGTACAACCCAAAGAGCAACAGAAAATTGAGTCACTACGGCAACACTTTCTAAAGGAAATCTGTAGTGAGATTCCTAATGCTTTTTGGGCCAGAAAGAAGCATATTGTTTCTTTACCCTATGTAAAAGGGTTTACCGATAGCATGATTCCTTCTAAAGCCAGTCCCAGCCACATGAAAGCTGACTACTTGGAATTATGTAAGACTGAAATCAGCTCTTTAATGGCCAAAAAGCTTGTCACTACTAGCTACTCCCCCTGGAGTTGCAGAGCTTTTTATGTCAATAAAAATGCTGAAAAGGAACGAGGAATTCCTCGATTGGTTATTGATTATCGACCACTTAATCTTACTTTAAGTTGGATCCGATACCCAATTCCCAACATCAAAGATCTTTTAGATAGGTTACAATCTGCTGTGATCTTCTCTAAATTTGATCTTAAATCTGGATATTACCAGGTACAAATCACCGAAGAAGACAGGTACAAGACAGCCTTTTGTGTACCTTTCGGACAGTATGAATGGACAGTGATGCCATTTGGGTTAAAAAATGCTCCTTCAGAATTTCAACATATTTTGAATGACATATTTAATCCTTTTACTGAATTTTCTATTGTTTATATTGATGATATTCTCATATTCTCAAAATCAATAGATCAGCATTATAGACACTTGAAAATTTTCAAAGATGTTATTTACCGAAGTGGTTTAGTAGTTTCTGCTCCTAAACTAAAATTATTTTTAACTAAGATCAGTTTCCATATTTGGAGCATGTTGCTGATCTGCTCAAAACTCCTTCTAAAGGAAGCAGTAGTTCCCAGCAACAACAACAGAAACCAACCATGAAAGAGGTTCTTGAACAAGAAACTCCATGGATACCTAATCAAAGGTATATTCAAACAGCATTGGTACTGGATTCTCAAGATGAGCAATGGATGCCAGATCCTTGGGAAGTAAAATCCAGATATTTCCAAACTCAACAATATGCTGCACCGGATGGTCGCCATAGATATATCTATGAAGCCATTCTTACTGAAACTTCCTCTGTGGAAATCAACCACACGAAGCAATTTCCGAATTCCAAAGATAGTCCTCTTACTTATAGTAAAGCTATCTT